TCCTGGATCTTGCTCTGTAGACCAGGCTGGCCTCGAACTCACAGAGATCTGCCTGGCTCTGCCTCCCAAGTTCTGGGAATAAAGGCATGTGCCACTACTGCCCGGCTAGAATCTCTTCTTATATTATGGTGATATTTAATTATTGACTTCATTCACTGAAAATTAAAAAAATATAATTCTAAATTTCATTCTTGTCTCCTTAGATGAACTATGTGTCCTTTCATTCTGTTCTTTATGACATAAACACACACACAGAGCACACTCATAGAAGTCATGTTTTATTTTATAAAAACCAGATCATACACATTTATCAGCATCTTGAATTTTGTACTTAAACCATTCTGCCTGCTAATCATTGTCTTTGGCATCTGTATATATAATATTCCACTACCTTTCAGTGTGAAGCATTTGCTTCATGGCTGTTTGTCTTTACCACCATATGATCTGTGGTCATAAATATATTCCATGGCTGTTACTTCTCTGGGGCAGCATCCTAGGAGTGACATTTCTGGATTGCAAGATTTTCTGTATATCTAATTTCACAAGTTATTTCTAGATTGCCTTCCAGGAGGGTAAAGGCAAGTCACACTTACATCAATAGCATATGAAGGTGCTGTTTATCCAACATCTGTCAGTAACAGGAGACAACATGGCCAGTCTCATGGGTAAAGAAAACAACTTGGAAAAATAGTGTGAGCATGTGTGTGCATGTTTGTATGCCTGTTCATATATATGAAAATGTACATGTGTGGGTCTGTGTGTGGAAGTCAGGGGACAACTTTGGGTGTCATCCTTAGCAACACTCATCACTGTCTACCTCCTTGAGACTGGGTCTTTCAGTGTTCTAGAGTTCGTCATTAGGCTCAAGACATGGCCAGAAAGTCTTAGGGGTGGATCCTGTCTCCACCTCCCCAGCTCTGGGATTACAAGCAGCCACAATGCTTCCTGAATATGTGGGCTCTGGGGTGAAATTCGGTTTCTCACACTTGTGAGGCAGGCACTTTACCTTGCCTGAACTATTTCATCAGCCCAAGAGAATGAATCAAAGACTTGGTTGAGTCCCTATAATGTCTTCCAAGGCTCCACGTTTAATTAAAATTAAATAAAACATGGACCATGAAAAAAAAACATGGCCAGTGTTTTGCTTAGAATTTTCTCTGCATAATTGAAGAGCCCACCTTCCATAACACATTCATATTGACCATTAAAAATCTGGACATTTCATATGGCATTCCAATTATTCTTAGAGACACAGTCAATACATGGCCTGTGTCGCAGTACGAAAACATTTCAACTCAGTGAATGGAAGCTTTCCAGTCCAGTCAAGTGAACCCCGGGTACTGGACAATGTCCTCTCTGCTCCTTGCTCCTGACTAGGCATTCAGTCATGGTTGCCTTCCTTTATGGCTTCCCTCTTTCATTTTTATTATTATTATTTTAATTCATATCTACTTTACAAGCAAGTGAGCATCTGTGTTCCTATGTGCGTGTGTGCACATGTGCACATACGCATGTGAAGTCCGGAAGACAAGTGCATGCCACTGTACCTGGCATTTCTACACAGCGGGTTGGACTCAGGTCCTCTTGATAGCACAGTAAGCCTTCTACTGACTGAGCCACACCCCACCTCCTGTCTTTCAATGTACCAAGTTCATGTTACACTTAGCCACTCTAGGCCCTGAGTTTATAACTCCTTAAAAACCCACCATGATGAGCAATGGGAGAGTGGCGAGGAGGAGGCAGTTGCTTAGGCCATCTCCCGTCGGTCTGGGGTACTTACATATCTGGAATTGGAAATGTACAAGGAGGCATCGCACACAATGCCATATCCCATCAGCCGGTCCCCAGGGAAAAGGGAGCTGGTGCTGACAGGTGAGATCAGGACCTCTGTGGTCTCAGGGAAGATCCACTCCACAGTCACGTCACTCAGCATTGGGGCCATAGCCTTCTTCAAGGATTTGATCATCTGGTGGAGAGGGTGAGAACACAGAGTAGGCAGATATGTGAGGAGGATGCAGAGAGATGAGGAGATAAAAAGATGGTGAGAATGTGGACTTGAGGGGAGGGAGGCCCAGCAGACTTGGGTAGCAGCAGCAGACACACCTCTGAACTCCTGAGACTCTTGGGATAGACCTTTGCCATCATCCCTGAGCTTAGCATTTTAAAAAGGAGAGAATCAGAGGACCAAAGTGTGGCTGTGATTAGTTCAACGGCCCGGCATAGAGCTCAGATTTGGGGCGACATCTCAACTTCACCCTCTCTGGGCTGCGGATGCCGCAGGACTGGGAGATCCTGGAGGCCCCTCCGTGTACCTTTGGTTGCAGCCGCTCCCCCTCTGTCAGGAACTCTGCACTGCCCTTGGATACAGACGCCAGCCCTTTCACCAGCCTGTAGCAGACACTGGGTCCAATTCCAAAACTATAGCACCTGGAGGACAGGGACAAGGAGGAAGCTCTGCATCATTGTCACCAGTGGGATAAGAAGACAGAGCATGGCCCAGCAGAGGCAGCCTAGAGATGGCTCTGTCTTCAGGCAAAAGCCTGGGGAGAAGGAGGAGCTATCATGAAACACACACACACACACACACACACACACACACACACACACACACACACAGAGGCACCACCACACGCACGCACGCGCACACACACACAGGCATGCGCACACACATGTGCACACGCACTACAATCAACTCCCAGTTGGCACTGGCAGCAGCCTCTCCTTAAGCTGTACTTGGACTTGCATGCTGAGCCGTGGATAACCCACCCCTCCTCATCTTATGAGAGGTTAAAAAAAAAAAAAAGCAAACATGAAAAGCATCACTCAGCATCCTGGGAACAAAGCATTCTGGGAAATGTAGGTGCTATCCTCTCCCTCTGGCCCAGTGCACACTTTGTTCTGATTTGGGTTCCCTGGGGGCAGCCTGGGGTCATCGGGCTGACCTGGTAGAAGAGGCGTGATTCCGCACCAGCTCCAGAACCTTCCCTGTGTTGCTCACAGCCCCATCCGTGAACAGGAAGAGGAGCCTTGGGTGACCCTGGTGCACTGGCTGCCGGAAGATCCACTTGAGAGGGGAGAGGATGTTGGTGCTGCCCATGTCAGCCCGTATTCTCTGGATGCAGTTACATGCCATGGCCAAGTTCTCCTGCAGGGAAGGACCATGGCAGAGCAGACAGGTCCTAGGTTCACCACGTGGCATGGAGTCTCTAAGTGCCTCCCGAGGATGAACTCTGTTCTCTGGCTCTTAGTTCATCAGCTACACCCCTGCCCACCCATGGGGAAATGTCACCATTTGCAAAAGAATGAAAATCTGGTCGTTTCTAGATTCTTCTTTAGAAATATAAGAATTTTGAGCTCTTAATTCCTCAGCACAGATAAAGTTCCCTGCCTGGTAAGGGAAGCAGGTGACATGGAGGAAAGAGCACAGTATTGGGCATCTTCAGACATGAACACTGAATCCGACTCTGGCACCGACTCCCATGACACTTTAATTACTGGCATCAGGTAGATGGTATTACAGTAGGAGTTGATTCCCTCCGGATACTATCTCCTGCCCCTGGCTTAGGAGGATTCTCTTCCTATATCCATGTTTGGAGGGACTTAGATGGAAGGGTCTACTGAGGTTGGGGATGTGGTTCAGTTGTAGCTCACCTAGCACACAGGCAAGCCCTGAGTCCCACTCTCAATCCCATATAAACAAGGTGTGCTGGGGCATGCCTGTAATCCACTCCGGAGGTAGAGGCAGCAGGGCCACTACATCAAGGTTATCCTTAACTACAGAGTGAGTTGGAATCAGCCTAGGCTATGCAAAACCCTATCTTAAAAAAAATAGAAGTAATGGTCAATATTGCCAATATCAAGTCTTATGATAAATATGTAGCTTTGGATTCATGCCCAGGGGACAGGCAAGATGCATGGGAAATCTATAAGCCAAAATGGCTAAATAGAAAAACATGGGGGCCATGAAAAGGCCATTTTCCAGGCTTCATAAATAAATCCCACGCTGTTTGTGTCCTGGGCCAGGCAGTTGTTAAAATGATGTCACAGATGGACATTTTCTGGCATAAAAATGTGTTCCTGATAGACTAGGAAAGTAGGTCCTGTCATAGTATGGAGGACCTAATACTCGTCTTGAAAATGTGCATAAACTCACAGAAGGTTGCCTGGAAATAGCACTTCTTTATCAGTTTTGTTTTGTCTGACTGATGTCGTCAAGGGAGATTTAAACATTTTTTTCTCCTTTTGATTATCTAGATCTAAAACTTAACAATAAGCAGACATTCTAATTCTTGCTTGTTTGAGACAGGGTATCATGTAGCCCAGGCTAGCCTCAAACTCACTATGTAGCTGAGGCTGACCTTGAACTCCTGATCCTCCTGCTTCCACCATCCCAGTGCTGGGATCGCACACATGTGCCACCACCCCTGCCTCAACATGTATTTCTCTTTCATTTTAAAAATCCATCCTTGACTTTTAGTAGTAAGTAGCCAATAATGTCCCTTCCCTTCCCTTCCTCCTTCCTCACTTCCGCCTCCCCCCCCCCCCCCCGCCCTTCTCAGTTCTGGGTAGAACGCCCCGGTTTTGGGGCCAGAGTCCTTCTGTTCCAAATAGCAGCTGAGCCTTAGCCTTGTAAGGACCTCCACCGCCACTTCCACAGCCACCAGGCCATTCAATTGTTCTTTCACCCTTCACTTCTGTAGCTCAGCCTTGGAGGAACCCACGGTCTTCAAGAGATAGGGGCTGTGGTGGGTGGCAGCCCATGGGCATGACAGATATGTCCCCTGTCCTGCCCTCCATGCCCATGTTCTTACAGACATTATTGTGAGGGAATTAGCAAGCATGGTTTTGCTTTCTTCTGCTGCCCCAGCTGTGGCCTGGGCTCTCCCTGGGGAGGCAGTATCTGAGGCTGTCCCCAGCCCGTCCTCTTTGCCGACCCCTTCCCCTTCCCCTGCTCACCACTGCCCATCACCCACCCAGACCCAGACTTGCCCTCTCCTTACCTCATTGTAGATCTGACTGGAAGTAAAAACTGTCTTAAAGGTGGATCCAAAACCAATGATATTGAAGAGACAGGCTGGCCTGAGGCTCTTAAGGGCCACCAACATGGCCTCCTGCCGGGCAAGAAAAAAGGATTCTCAGGGTTCCGACAGGGAATACTGCCATTTCCAGCGTGGAGCCACCTCCCCAGGGACCAGTCACCCTCTCTGCACCCAGCACTCCTGCTCCATGTATCATAAAATCTGCTGCTCCCGACCAGAGGCTGACCGGCCAAAGCTATCAGCTTCCTCATCCATGCAGCAGGCCTGACTCATCAAAGCCACTCCGCAATGGCCTTGGAGTTCCCCATCCCTTCTTGCTGACTTTGAGAGGTGAGAAGAGCAGGGTCTGCCCAGGCCCTTCTGCCAAAGCAAACTTGACATTGAGGGGAGGTCACATTGTTGATCCAATGGTGTTTGGCCCTCATCCAAGGCCCCTGCCTCAGCATCATCCTGTCATCCAAGGCCCCTGCCTCAGCATCATCCTGTCATTAACCAGTGACAGATCCCCAAGGAGGTCTCTTTAGCTCTCTTTTATTAGATGCAAATGATACACTTCATTTGCTTTGCTAATCAGCCTCAGCAACAGGTCCATTGTTATCCCCATTCTACAGATGAGAAGCCTGATGCACAGAACGGGCAAATGATTGGTCGAGAGCATCCAGTTAGTAAACAGTGCAGCAAGGATTCAGTTATGCCTCTTGGTCTTCTAAGTCTGAACATTAGAGATCTCTATCTTCTGTAGTGATGCACCATCTGGAGACCGCGATAAAAGTGCTATATTTAATAGTGTGGAACTGGAGAGATGAGGAGTATTTTCTCCGCAAACATGAGGGCCCAAGTTCAAATCCCTGGTGCCAAATAATAAGCTGAGTGAGGCTGTGGGTACCTGTAACCCTAGCATTGGTGGGTGGAGACAGGGGGATCATGAGAACCAGCTGGCCAGCCAGCCTAGTTGAAAAGGTGAGCTTCAGGTTCAGGGGGAGACCCTGTATTAAAGGCACAAGGTAGAGAACGATAGAGGAAACAACGGACCCATTATTCTGCTCTGGTTTCTACATGAATGAGCATGGGCACATGAACTTGCGATCTCACATACATGCAACACACACACACACACAAGAAAGGAGGGAAGGAAGGAGAGAGAGAGACAGATATATAGAGAGAGATGGGGAGAAAGACAGAGAAAGAGAGAAAGAAAAATAGGGGGAAATCGATGAGGCTGGGTATGGTGGTGCATGTCCCAAATCTTGGCACTGGGAATTTGAAGGCAGGGGAGTTATCAGCGCATGGCCAGCCTGGGCTATGTAGGAACTTCCAGGACAGACTGAGCTACATATCTCAACTCTAAACCAAAATATAGAAAGAAAGCAAAGCAGTGAGTGTGACAGTGGGAAGGAAAAGTGACAATAACAGTGACAGTGCGATGACCATGTGGTGATCAATACCCATGCTAGGATGTGCCACCATAATGTTAAGCAGCTTCAACTAACAATCACACTCAATCACTATCACCTGAATTATAGCACAGCGGGGCGGTGATACATTCCCGTTATTCACTTGACTTTGGGTCTGCCTGAGCCTCAGCAGGTCACAGAGGAAACAGTAAGTGGAGTCGTTACCAAGACAATGAGTTCTGTATTTTGTAGGAAGGGGATGGTGGCTCAGGAGAGCCAAGGCATTGTTCTGGGTCATAAAACCTGGGAGTCTGACTTTGGTTTTCAAAAACCCAGCTCTGGGTCTGCCCAGATGGCACTTGCTGCCAATCCCTAGGACCCATCTGGTGGAAGGAGAGAAATGAATCCCACAAGTTGTCCCCTGACATCCGCACACCCCCTTAGAATGTCCACAAAATAAATAAAATATAAAAAAAAAAGAAAAAATCCCCCACTACAGCTCTGAAGTCTTCATTTGTGTTCGCTGTGCCTCAGCAGAGGTGGAAATGAAAGGCCTCCTCTTTACTCCCATATAGTATATTTATGCTCCCCATTCCCTAGCATCTCCGCATAGTTTCAGGGAAACAGACCATAATACGCTAAAATATAGAAGCAAACATTGCCAGGTGATTCCGGCAATTGCCACAACATACAGCCTTCTGAGCGCGACAGCCCTGCGGCCCTCCTCTGTCCTCCTCTGCAAACGCTCACATTAAATGCTTCCATTAATGTCCCCGCTGCCTCTCCGCACTGCCTGTGTCAATACAGTCTGTGTCTCTACAAAAGAAGTCAATATCTGCTTTTTTTCATTAGCCGCTAATGCATATTCCTGTTGGCAGGAGACTCTGCTGATCCGTACAGATCGTCTCAGCTCACACCTATTTGAATTCTAAAGCTCTGCTTTTGGCAGCAAATGGTGGCTGAAGAAGGAGAGCAGCTGCCGGAAATTAAATTCCCTGAACTTTCCCCTTTGGTGTGGGCTGTTTGGATTTCTACCCCACGCCTCCTCCCTAAGCCTTGCTTTCCCTAAAAGTTCTACCCAATGGACCATAATGAATGACTCACACATCCCCACCCCCCACCAGCCTTATCCTTGGCAAGGCTTTCCCCGAGTAATTTCTGTGCCTTTCTCTGGAAGGGTCATGCTTAGCTGAGTGGATTGCTGCACCAGCACAGAGCCATTTGTGGAGGGATGACCTTGAGCCCAGAGAGTGGAACTAGAAAAAAGCAAGGGGAGACTCCACAGGGAAAGGAGACTGAAGGAGGGACCAGAGAAAGTCACCGTCGGAGATTTCTGAAGTGGTAAAGGTGGAGAGGGCTTCAGCTAATGAAGTGGATTCCTGCTCATAAACAATTTCACTTTAACGATAATAACTTCCTGGAGTGCTTGCGTGAGGAGGACACAGAGACTCAGTCCAGGATTAGCAGGGGTGAGAGGGTGTTGGGGAAGGGTCAGGATGAATCGCTGATGTCTACTTGGGCTGAGGAGAAGGAAACAGAGGGCCACGTGACATACATTTGCCCTCTCTGAATCAATCCTTTCTTCTCATCTCATAGAAAGGATGAATGAAGGCCACAATTGAGAATCAGTTTGTCCAAAGCCACATAGCAATTGTGACAGAATCAATTGTGGACCCCGGGATTGCTCCTTCAACCATGCCATGTAGCAGAAATGACATATGTAAACAAGAGAGCTTTGTAGAGCCAGAGGGCATGGCTCACTCCTCATAAGCAGTGTATGAGAAACCGGCATAGACCTGGAAGGCTCAGGTCCCCTACCAGCCCTGTGATACTCAGAAAAGCATTTCACCCCTTAAGAATTCAGTTTCCTTACCCTCGAAATGAGGGACAGGGTATGAAATGCTCTCCAAAGACTGTTTTAGGTTTACAGTGCTAGTCTTAGGTGATCAGGGGGTGTTTCAATGTGGGTATGGAACTGGATGTTGAGAGCTGCACTATCCGGAAGTACACTTCAGCACTCCAGAACCTTGGACAGCTCCCCTTTGCCTCCAGAAGGCTCTTGGCTCTCATCTATGATGCTTCTGCAGCTACTCAAGACTAGGAGGGACTAAGAGGACTAGGAGATTGCTGGCCTCATGGATTCCACCTAAGTTTCCTCTCCTTGCTGAGTCTGTTGCTCTGGAAACAAGAGCTTGCCCCGTGGGCAAGGTAAGGAGGAAGAATGGAATCTCCATGGCAGGAGAGCACACTCTTTTCTGGTTCCCCTTCTCTCATTCTCCTGAGCTACAATCCATTCCTCAAACCAATAAATAGAATGGGGGGGGTACATAGAAGTGAAGAGCTAGGCCACATGGGGACAGACAAAGGCGAGACAGTTCTTTCCCTTAATGAGTTCATAATTCCAGATGGGGAGACAGACACCTGCAGAAGTCACAATAAAAGGGAACATTGGATAATTTCATAACAAACTTAATGATTTCCAAGCAGGAAAGAGGGGCTTCATGGTGTGTGAGGAGGGCGCTATCATTCTTCTGTATTTTATTATTTATTTATTTATTTATTTATTTATTTATTTATTTATTTATTTATTTATTTTTGAGCTTCCTAAGCAAGAAGACCAAATCAAACTCTCAGGCCTTCTGACTGGCTATCAGACCAGCATGCCAAACTTGACTGTGAGCTCTGGGAGGATATTGAGTATGTTAGCATCTTAGGTGGTTTTTTTTTTTTTTTCTTCCTAAGATGACTTTGCCCGCCATTAGTCATTTGGGAGAAAGAATAACTAAATGTTTTTATTTTTGTGTGTATGCATACATGTGTGCATATGCCCATCAAAGCCAGATGACAACCTTGGGCGCTGTTCTCAAGGCCTGCCACTGAACTGGAGCCAGCTTGCTAGGCTGACTGGCCAGTGAGCCACACTGGTCCACCCATCTCTGCCTCCCAGTGCCAAGATTACAAGTGTGCACCACCACAACTGGAAACTTCTTTTAGACATGAATTCTGGGAATCTAATTCAAGTCCTTCTAAGCATTTACTGAGTTGGCTACTACCCAGAGCAAATCCAATCTTTTCTTCTTTTGGTTTTTCGAGACAGAGTTTCTCTGTGTAGTTTTGGTGTCTGTCCTGGATCTCACTCTGTAGACCAGGCTGGCCTTGAACTCACTGAGATCTGCCTGGCTCTGCCTCCTGAGTGCTGGGATTAAAGGTGTGCACCACTGCCGCTTGGCAAATCCAATCTTTTCTATTGGGTTCTACAAACAGGTGGCAGGGGCCGGGTCCTGTGTCTCTGTGATGTTGGACAGGGGTGGGGGTGGGGGTGGGGAGGTACAGTCAGGCAACCATTGGTTTGACCACAGATTATGTGAGTTGTGTGATCTTGGGGAGGTGAATACAACTCTCAAGAACCATTTTTCTCATGTGGAAATGGTGACAAGAGCAGTCTCTTAAGATAATTGGATTAAACACCAAGAGGCACTGTGAGGGGCTAGCCCAGTATCCCACACATTCCAGGCTCCCAGCACATGTACAATTCTCCCCCCATGCCCTCTTACTGTGCCCCTTCCCACTCAGGACACAAGAGGGTGCTTAGCCCGGGTCAGGCTTGCAGAACATGTTTGCAGAAAGTGAAGGACCTCGCTTGAATCAGACAGCTTCTCCACTTCTGTTCCCATCACTTCGACGGGTTTATTTTGGGAACAAATTGAGTTAAAGTGTCTCTGCTTAAACTGATTTTGAACAAGTGGCTTCTTGGAACAGAGAGTCCTCTGGGAGCACAGCTGATGTACTTGAGCCTTGGTTCCCAGGGACAGGGTCCCATACACAGTACCTTGACACACTGGATGCTGGTCCTGCTCACGCTGCTGCTCCTGTCGACAAGGAAGAGGAACTCCCCATGGGTCTTCCTCAGGTTGGGCTGCACAGACTGGAGGTCAGGACAGAAGTTGAGCATGATGACTGAGTGGTGGGGGATGTCTTTGTGGAGACGCTTCCGGATGACTTCTGTCTGGAGGAGAAGGGAACACTTTTGGATTTGGTAGGGTGTTGCCGTTTCCTCCTAGCTAAAACATTTCCTCCCATGGGAGGGAAGCTCCTTAAGACCCAGGAAAAAGATTAAACTTATAAGACGTGGGAAGTCCACACAAGTCACAGGTCTCAGTGGGTTCCTGAAACCTACAGGATTCACAAGGCACCTGCATGGGATTCTAGAAGCAGTATTAACTGCTGGGAAGAAGAGACTCTTCAATATGCCCAAGTTTTCAGGGAGCTCCAGGGATGCAGCTTTGTGGAGTCATTACTCATGCTCAGTTGGGCTGTTTATTGAGGTAGCTTTTGAGTCAATCATGCTCCTGTAAGTAACCCCATACTCACAGGTTCACTCATTTACATGGAGTCATTTCTTTAGTCCATTGTTGGTGGCCTATCTTGGGTACACAGACACTTGTCCACATCACCCCAGAAGAAGTCATACAACACTTGGGCAATTGAGGGATCCTGGGGACTCATGTTGGTCCCCCCATCACTCACCAAGCATCAGAGTTTTTACTCTATGCCAAAAGTTTCCAGGCTGGCTGCCCCTGGCTCCTGTGCTTGCTAGAAGATAACAGGAGGCGGCAGAAGGCGCAGCTTTTCTTGCTTCTGAGTTTGAACCCCAACTCCAATGCCATCCAACCATGTGGTATCAGGTAAGTCCTTCCTCTGGGTGTCGCCTCACATGGACAGTGGGGTGCAAACATTCACCACGTATGGTGGTTGTGAGGATGAGTTACATTAGCACATAGGAGGGGGGAACCCCCTCACTGAATAATGATCTTTCATGTTCACAGTGGATGTAAGCCCCTCCCTGGCTCACCTTGGTCAAGAGCTTGGTTCCCTCGGCTTACTGGATCCCCCCAGTGGTAAATTGCCCCTTCTTCACATTTTTCACGTTTGGAAAAGCCTTCCCCACCTTCCACATGGATATTCCCGCTTAGTCTCCTCATGCATGAAATGAGCACATGTACATGCCCCGTGGAGTTGTCATGTGGATGGGTTGTCACAGCTGTGACGATGGCCGCCTGGCAGAGTCAATGCCATTATTGTTGCTATGGCTGCTCTTGCCTGTCCTGGAAGATTCGGGCACTTCTCATACTGAATGCAGCGTCTGCTCTGCTCTCTGCCTCCCCTCTAGCTACTGGGCCTCATCCTGGTCTTTTGTATCCAGGGATTCCTGTGGTGTTCAGTTAGGTGATAGATCAGTGACCGTCAGAGGGACCAAGAATTCAATCTTTCTTTTTTTATCTTCTCTCTCCTCTCTCTCTCTCTCTCTCTCTCTCTCTCTCTCTCTCTCTCT